AGGCCACCTATTGGTTAGACCGTCTCTGACTTGCTTTTAGGAAGCACAAACCTAAGCCTTGACCTATGCCGCAACGCAACTAATTATCGCCGCATAGATCTGGTGAATTGACCCGACATATTGGCACTCCCAATGTTCATCATTTTCGAGCAAAAACCAGCTGTCTTCATGTGGGTAACAGCTCTAACAGTCTCATTGTTGCTAAAATCTGCCTTACGTTACAAACCACTCAGCGGATTCTTAGTATGAGAGCGAACACCTATGACTGTTGGACGGCTTCACGGAGCCGTGCCTATGCTTATCCGAACGTAACCTGCGGTAAAAATTATTTGTCTTTTCTCAACGTTGATGTTATGCGATAAATATTAGTTGTTGCAATAGGAATTGTCGCGAAGATTCACATACGCGATGGGCATTTTTTACCGTTTCTGAATATCCAGGTGCTTGTTAATCATTCGAAAAAGGACATTCAAGAGAATAAGAGTGGCTACTCTCTGGCCATCTCGCTTTTTTTTCACATGGATCTTTCCTTTGAACGATGACCAACCGAAGTTCTTGAGAGTGCACGTGAATGTTCTTGCGACATCTTGAAAAGCTTAATCCAACTCGTGCGGTCACAACAGGCTATTGCAAACAAAAACGAATTAAAGGACGAATTCACGATGAAAAAGCAACCCATTTCAAATTAACCTAGGGATGGTGAGTGGTACACGAAAGAAGGAAGAACCATGAGAAACGGCCCAGAACCCGAGAAATGGGACCCCTTCCTTGCCCGTTGATTTGAGCATTGATGCGACTCTCATCGCTGTGCCCTCTTCAACACTACGCTCTCTCAGCTATCTAATCACTCGCCCGCGAGTGATCAGATGATCGGTGGGCGGAGATCGCCGGACCCGCCAGCTTTGAGGCATGATAGGTCGCCGAGGTCAAATTTTTCCATGCGAATTGCGCGTCAGTTCGCACCCTCAGGAGGTCCGTGGGTCCCTCAACTAGGTCAGTTTCCCTTTCTTCGACCTTCATTCTAATCGTGAATTCCTCCTTTAAATCAAACTGTCAGACTCGACAAACAATGGATTTTAACGATTACATAATCTGGTCAGATGACGGATAAGAGGCTTATTACGCAAAAAAATCATCGGCAAAAAAGTGCTATGCCATACTGAAGACCTATGGAAACGCTGAACAGCTCTAGTCACACTTCATCCAAGTGCTGTTTATCCGAAATAACGCGATACGTTGTGGACGAATGAGAAACGATCCCTACAAAAAATTTTGCCTGTGGGAGTCCACGTTTATCTGCGCAGAGATGCTACCATCCTTGGTGGTCTCTGCATGATGATT